TAGGTGAGTGCCACCGCGCTGCCATAAGTCTGGTCGCAGATGCCTTTGTTTAAAAAAAACTCTTTCAGGAATTTCGGCACCATGGCGCAACAGATTCCGCTGCTAACAAGGATGCCGGCCGCTTTGCGAAAGGTGATTTTACGGGAAAGTGACTGAATTTGAATAGTTCAAAATCCATCGAAATTCTAAAGTTTTCGATAAAACCAGTCCTGCTCATTGCCTTTACTTTGTGAGGGAAAGATGGTGTTTCTTTCGGTAGTGGAAAGTGGTTTGGAACGGTGTATATGATCTTTTGAAGCAATCTTGTCCCGCATCCGAGTAAAATCTCAACGCACGGTGATAGGTGCCAAGGTGTCTTGTGGTTAGTGACATTCAGTGGGATATCATAGAACGAAGTCGGATCAAGTCATACTCCGATTTCCTACTTAAAAACGGATGTATCCCATCACTCGTAGTTCAGAGAGTCCGGAATTCTACGAGCTCATATGGATCTAATGCCCTGTCGTAACGCTACGCTCAAGTTTTTATGACCAGAGTTCTTCATGACTGGCTGTTTTTTCATTTAATTCCTTGTCTCTGCCCAAGAGAGCAGTACAAGGGAAATGAAGGAGAGGGGGTGGGAGTGAACCGATCTCACTTCTTCTTTTAGCATTTTATCAATCAATACTGCCAAATTCTCTTCGAACGTCTCACTTGAAAAGTCAGTGGTCCGCTTCAAAAAATCAGGAAGGTCCACGGAGTCTGTAAGAACGAAACCGGAAGGTTCAAGCAGGCTAACATCATGATTCTGAGCTCGTTCTTCATGCATTTTTTTCTGAACTCGGACGACAATCGGCAAGGGTAATGATAGCTAGGGTAGCTTCAATACGAGGCTACTTAACACGTGAGCCAACCCCAACAGACCGCACCTCAGGCGGCCTCATGAGTTATCGCAATTGTCGGTTTTAAATATGCTTTCAAAGGCTTTTTGACCTCACCATTGCTCTTCTTGTGGAAAATTTCCTAACTGATGCCACAAGTCGTAACGTTCCAGTACTTTGTGTTGCAAAAGTTCCCTATTTCTGTGGTTGGGTACAAGGGTCAACTGTCTCCGTCTGTGTGAGGTGGGGGGTCGTATCTCGCCCATGTAATGTGTGGTAGAGGGAAACGGTCTGATTGGGGAAGCGCTCTATTTGATAACATGTGTGCAACTGTCAACTTTGAAACGTTTAACTTTACCGCAACTTTTTAGGGTTTATCCTCTTACCGACACCAAAATCTCATCACTTTTGCGTTTTTCGAATTGCTTTTCATACAGAGGCACTTGAAGCCAGGCCGAGCTCATTTACTTTGTTCATTTTAGGAAGTGATGCCATTCGTTTCTTTCGTGCTTGATGCCACTCAGAAGCTGTTGCCGTCAATGCGTGAAACGTCCTATCGTTACGTGCTTGGAGATGCTGTTCACGCATTTCTATCATTTTATGAGGTTTTTCGGAACTCTTCTTCTTCTTTCAAATGGTTCTTGGTTAAACTTAAGCGAACAAAGGAGATTTCCTGTATTTTGGTCATTTTCGTTTTCCAGACGATCTCTAACTCGGAAGCAGCTGCTTATTTTGGTGAGAAATTGATAGCCTGCTGCATGAAATTCTTTAGTTCTCATACGGAGACGGTAGGTTACTTTTCGAGTGTCGGTTTGTGAGTGTTGATTTTCCACCAGCGATGCAAAATTTTAGGCAAAGGAAGTGTTCAACGATCGATCAGATGTGATCAATGCGCTTCCTACAGAAACTTCCTCCGGGAAATTTAAATGCGCAAATGATGCAAGAAGCTGTTACACGAGACGGATATGGAGGTGACATGATGCAAGGAAGTCAACCGCTCTGCTCAGCCTCGTTTTCGCAAATGATCTCTGTTCTTTGTTGCTGAATGCATTTCTGTAATTTTTAGGACGGGTATAATTTGTTATTTTATAGAATAGATTTTTTTTAGGTATCTCCAATGTTCTTAATAAATCTAATACAATCCGGGTATGACTTCTGCTCCCCGAGATGGAAGTGAAGCTGTGGTTCATATTGAAATTAACATTAAGGACGAATTCACGATTAGAATGAAGGTCGAAGAAGGAGTAATTCACCTAGTTGAGGGACCCGCGGACCTCCCTAAGGGTGCGGACTGAAGCGCAATTGGCACCGAAGGAGTTGACCTCGGCGACCTATTAAGGCTCAATCTTGGCGCGGTGGGCCAGTGCACGCCCACCGATCATCTGATCACTCGCCGCAGGTCTATACGTGGCGAGTGATTAGATAGGTGAGAGAGCGTTGAAGAGGGCACAGCGATGAGAGTCGCATCAATGCTCAAATCAACGGGCAAGGAAGGGGTCCCATTTCTCGGGTTCTGGGCCGTTTCTCATGGTTTTTCCTTCTTTCGTGTACCACTCACCATCCCTAAGTTAATTTGAAATGGGTTGCTTTTTCAGCGTGAATTCGTCCTTTAACACGATTGACATTAATGCTGAACAATAGGAAAAGTAAACCGTCAAAACTACCGAAAATAAAGATTATCGCATTCGGATGGTGGGCGACTGCAAGGCAGACAACAAAAGACGCGCGCTGAGACGAAAGACCTGAGACAGAGGCGAGAGAGTTCAGTGGACGAGCGAGGTCGCAGGGCCCGTACATGCGCAGAGGTGGGCGGGCCTGTATGGGCGGGTGCAAGTCGCAACCTCCTAGCGCTTTGCGCTGCATGCAGAACTGGCACTATTTTATGGTTGGGTACGGCGAGATTCGTCCCCCCCCATGTCAGACGGGGTCGTATCTTGCCTGCGGAGTGAACGCGGGGGTGTAGTAAAGGCGAGGGGAGCAGCTGAAACATCTCGGATCGGATGTTGAAATAAACTTGAAATTGTACTGAGTAAATAGTGGTTTGGAAATTATAACATTGAATTAACATAATTCCCTTCAACGTTGGCATTTCCCAAAG